AGCCCAGCTGGAATCAGACCTTAGGCCTATCTGGCCCAACATTCTGTGTTATGCAACTCCAAGTATACAATATTTATTACTTCACCCTTGTTACATGCTTGTTGACACCTTCAAGAAAGTCCAGAAGCTTAGTGAAACACTATTTATCTTTGCTGAAGCCACATTTGTTCCTTTTCAGCAAGGAACATTCTTCTCTGTGCTTGTTAATGTTCTTTTTAATAATATTTTCAACAATTTTCTCCAAAACATATGTTAAACTAACTGGCATTTAGTTTCCTTTATCAATCGAGATCCCTTTTTAACAATTGGGACCGCACTGGCTGTTTTCTAGCTCTTGGGAATAGATGTTAAAAATAAGTTGCATTTAAATCAGCAATATCATAGTTAATATTTTTAGTAGCTCTATACTTTGTTGAAACGGAGAACAGGATTAGGTCCAATGGGTTGAAATGCATGTTTTTCAGATCCACACATCATCATAGACATCTTAATTTTAATTTTCACAAATTAAAATATCATGCTTGACAGTGGCCAGCTGGGAGAAACAGGAAGGGAGTCCTAGCTAACTCAAGAGTATCCTTCACAGCAAAAAGGTGAGGATATTCATGCTGCAGTCCACACCATGGGAGTTTGGAAAGCAGGAGCAGTATCTGTGAGGAACGTCTTTATAATTGTTTTACTAGAAGCACTTTGGGCTTTTTTATACACATTGACTTTAGGACAAATAGTCTGATACAAACTTATTACATGAGGGCTGGCTCCACAGTCAGTCAAAACATTTGTAACAGTGGCCAAAACGTATCTCATATCTAGAGCTTTAAAAATTCTGAAGTGAGATAACGCCTTGTCCCTTTTTTGTAAATCAAAGTCACCCACCCTGCAATCTTTTATACCCCTTCCTGATCTATGATATTTTGTTTGAGACTCATAACCAGCATTAACTACTATGTCCAGCATATCCCTGTCTCATTGATTTGTATAAATTGGGAATGTGGGTCTCCATGGGGGTAGGGAGTAACATAGAATCATAGAGTTGAAAGGGACCTAAGAGGTAATGCACTCCTTGCATACTGTAGGATTCACTACACTATCCCCAATGGATGACTATCTAGATTCTGTTTCAAACCTCCAGTGAAGGAGAAGAAACCACTCCATGTGGTAGCCTGTTCCACTGACTGACAGCTCTTATTGTCAAGAGGTTCTTCCTAATATCTAATCTGTATCTACTGTACATCCTTGAAGTTTCATCCTATTCATCAAATTCATCCCCCTCTGGAGCAAGTGAGAATAAGTCTGAACCCTCTACAATGTGACTGCCCTTCATATATTTGAAGACAGCTATCATGCCCCCTCTCAACTTTCTCTTCTGTGAGCTAAACGCACCTAAGTCTTTCAAATATTCCTTGTAGGACTTGGTTTCCAGTCCTTCCATCATCTCTGGACTTGCCCCAATTTATCAATGTCTTTTTTAAAACTGGGGTGTGCAGATCTGAATGCAGCATTCCATGTGAGGCCCAACTAAGGCAGAGTAGAACAGGATAATTACTTCCTGTGACCTGGACTCTGCACTCTTTTTGATGTTGTTGGCCTTCTTTGCAGTTGCCCTGTTGGGACATGTTGAACTTGTGATTCACTAGTACACCCAAGCCCTTCTCACATATGCTGCTGTTGAGCTAGATTCCCTATATGAGTTCTTTGTTTTGTTTTTGTTTTACCCAGATGCATGATTTTAGACTTCACCTTGTTAAATTCCATTGTATTTGTTTCTGCCCACTGTTCTAGCCTAAGACTTTTTTATTTTTTTTCCCCCTCTCCTCCCATTGTATGTTTTTGCCCACTGTTCTAGCCCCAGGCCCAGGACAGAGCCCTGTGGCACTCCACTTGAGATGTCTCTCCAGGTAGGTCATGGTTTCTATCAAATACAATAGGAGCCTGTCATATGGGCAGGAAGTATGACACGGACGTCCTCCAGGTATTACAATGGTCACCATTGGTCATGTCACTCATTTCCAATAATAGTCTTGCAGTTACTACAGGGTGCCAAGAATCTTGTTGAGATCGAGAATAAAAAGATGGGACCTAACAACACTATCTCTTCATCCTTAGATTTCTATATGAATATAGTACATCCCTATTATATGTCACTGTATTAATAATTGTAACAGTTAACCCCATCCTCAGAATATCTCTCTGTCAATCTAACTTCATCTTTTCAAGTCCTTATATATTTTATGGTATAATCTCCATCTCTGTATCAGATTGACCCATACAGAAAAGAACTTATAGAATAAACCCACAATGACCTCATCCAAAGTGTAGGACTCTCCCAGGACTTGCACCTTCTCACTGATTTTCATAACCGTGAGCGCTCTCTGTATCTCTGGAGTCAGCAGCTGCCATCGTTCAAAACAACACCTTTAAGAAGAACAGCAGAGTGCCAGTTCAGGCTGCCAACCTGAGAAAAATCAATCATAATATTGAATATTCTGGGCTGCCTATGCTTTGCTATACAGTGACAGAAAAGCTGTTACAAAGGGTATGCTGACATTTCTTGAGAAAGTGCATAAGGGAGTCATTTTGGGGAAGTGAACAAAAAGGTAGCTATTAAAGTAGCTATCAGATCATGCTTACAGAATAAGACCACCATCATTATTTGGGACAATGATCTTTTCTGCATTATCAGCATTTTTTGAATGGAGCAAAAATGTTGCTTTCTTCTGAATAGCTTTATCTTAAATACTGTAGATAATTCAGAGAGGATTTCTTCCTATTATTTATTTATTTAGAGTAAATATATACAGAATTTATCTACAGTATCCATATATTTACTTACAATACGGAAACATTTTATAATCATAACTCAGGATTTTCCATTCATAACACAAAGGTAACATTTCTAGAAACTGTTTATATAGAAGGTTTATGATGGAGGTGGCCCTGAACTCAAAACTGAAATTGAAACTCAGTTAAATTAGCCTTAATTAAGCAACATTAAACTCAACTCAGTGATTTCCATGCAAGATGTGACTACTGTGGGCCTGATCCAATGGACTTTCTCAGGACAGGAAACTTCAGTAGTGAAAATTGGTATAAAAATGGTATCAAATTTCTCCTGTAACATTGAGGAATAATCAAAACCCTAGTAATAGAAGCTCAATTAAAACATACTACAGATAAGAGAATATAAGAATATGTCTAAGGAGTCATCAGTATGGATAATAAGAAGTTACTGGAGGAGAGAGGGCTCTTTTCCCTTTCCCAAATGGGAGAACAAAGAAAATAAAAACAAAAGAAAACAGATATCCTCCCCCTGCATTCCACAAGGCCTATATATAAGTCCAGAAATCACATTAATGACAGAACATGGTGAAACAGACTGGCTCCAAGTTCGCAAAGGAGTGAGTCAAGGCTGCATACTCTCCCTTTATTTATTCAACCTATATGCTGAATATATATTAAGGGGGGCTGAATTGGAAGAGGTTGAGCATGGATTTCAAATTGGAGACAGAAATATCCATAACCTGTGCTACATTGATAATGCTACTCTACTAGTTGAAAATCTGCGGGATCTGCAAGGTCTACTAATAAAAGTCAAAGAGCATAGTGAAAAAATGGGCCTAAATTTAAATATAAAGAAGACCAAACTAATGACATCAGGTAGAACAACCAGCCTTAGAATAGTCAAGAAATATGCTGCAGAATAGCACTTGGTACAACAGCCATGAAGGCCTTGAAAAAGATACTCATGTGCAATGATATGTCTATACCTACAAAGATCAGAATAGTGCAAGCAATGGTATCCCCTATGACACTCTGTGGAAGGGAAAATTGAACTTTGAAGAAGCAGATGGGAACGGTATTGACGATCTTGAATGTTGGTGTCGCAGAAGACTCCTCAGAATACCATGGACAGCCGAGAAAATAAACAAATGGATCATCAAACAAATCAATCCAGAGTTCTCACTAGAGGCAGAAATGACCAGGCTCAAATTATCCTACTTTGGATACATTATGTGAAGACCCAGCTCTCTGGAAAAGGCTCTAATTCTGGGAAAGATAGAAGGAAAGAGAAGAGGATGGCCAGCAGCAAGGCAGATGGATTCAGTTACAGTGTCAATGGGTGCAGCATTGGAAGCTCTGAAAAAACAAGTTAGAGACAGATCATTATGGACAAAATCTATGTGGTTGCTAAAAGTCAACACCAACCTGATAGCATATAATCAATCATTCCACAAGACATTAAGGAATGAAAAAAGAATTGTATTTATTATAGTGTAATCCACCAATGACATAAATGCATTGACAAAAGAGCAAACTGAAAACAAATCAAACTTCATTTCTAGATGGCACAGGTATGGGAATATTTTTAAAAGTCAAACATTAAATTGCTGATCCAGCTAAACTTCATTTAATGTTCCTAAGATCAAACTCCATAGGAGTGAAAAGTGAACAATATAGCATGATTTTTTTACAAAGGAATCCAATGAGGGTCCTTGAAATTATCAGCCAGTTAGCTTAATATTATTTTAGATAAATAGATGGGGTAAGTGTTATTAAGAAATATATCCTTAAGTTTATACATGAATGGTCTTACTGCAACAAATCAATATGGCTTTTACAAATGCAAATCCTGTGTCCCTAACCTTTTAAAGTTCTTTGTAAATATTGGCACCATGCATGTAGTTTGTGTGATCCATTAAGCATTATTTATTTGGACTTTCATGATTTTTCACAAAGACTCTCATGTAAAATTAATACTGAGCTTAAAAAGAAAAAAAAATAACTCATGGTATATATTTTGATGGGGTATGAAGTTATGGTGACTGACCTGGAAAGTAATTGTGCTGGATAGCCTGATGAAAACATCAATCCAATGTGTGGCTGCTGTGAAAAAAAGAAAAGAAAAGAAAATCCCATACTGAAGATTATTACAAAAGGAATAGAAATAAAGCTGCAGATATCTTAATGACATTACAAATACCTATGGTGTGGCCACACACCTGAAGTGGAGTGCTTTTCTGATTGCTGCACCTCAACACAGATATTGTAGAGCTGGAACAAAATGGAGAAGAGAACAACAAAATGATCAAGAAATGGAGCCATTTTCTTGTGAATAAAGGTTACATTTGAGGCATTTTAGCTGAGAAAGTGTTGAATTGGGGCTCATGTGATAGAAGTATATAAGAAAGCACATGGTTGGAAAAAGCAGATAAGGATTTTATTTCTCTATCCTTTATACTGTAAAAGAGAGGCTGAGGTGATCCAGTGAAGCTAAATGGTGAGAACTTCAGCACCGATAAAAGGAAACCCTTCTTCACATATCACATTTTTAATCAATGGAGTTTGCTACCATAAGGTTCAGCGGTTGAATGGTTTTAAAAAAGAATTAGGAAATATCACAACGCATTTGCTTAATCATTATTATTGAATAGAAGAAACCACACCCAGCTGGATTCACACACCATAAACCATAGACAAGCATACCACATTATGGTTTGGTCTGTTACATGAATGCATCTGAGGCTACTGTTCATGATGAGTAAATAGTACGCCCAGTATAGAATGCATAAGACTCTCAGTATCACCTTCTTGGGACTGTGAAGAAAGATCTTGCTCCTATGTTTGTAGAGTAACTTGTTATTATGCTGTCTCTTTGTTTCTCTATCCTTGGTCTGGCTGTCTCTCTCTCTCTATCATTGTATCATCTCTTGAGGATAAGGACAATATTATGTTGGACCAGTTAAAGATAATTCAATTTATATTCACTTGAAACTAAAAGGCTGTTCCAACTCCAGTTATCCATAATTACTAAAGACAGCTTCCATGTCTATCCTTTGTAAATAATTCCTCATTTTTACCCTTGTTTATTTCTTCTAGGGATACCTGCGAAAATTGTGTAGGCTTTTTCTACCATTCTTGTTCTTCAAGTCTAAGCTCCCTTGCCAAAAGGAATTCAAACCTGAGGTGGCAACAGATCTGGCAGCAAACACATCTTGTTTCAGGTTCATAGGGACCTAAAATGCAAATAGCTTCATCACTGTTATGAAGTGCACAAGTACATGCTGGGCAGAGAAATTCTGCTGCATTCCTTTCTGTCAGTCTTCATTCTATTTCATGAAATAAATCTGCTTTTGAAATTTTTTTCACGAGAGCATTTTATGTTTTGTTTTGTTTTGTTTTGGTGAAATTCTCGTAAGTGTAGTATTTCATAGGTGTAGTATTCTGGTACTCACATTAGTTCCATAGCAGATCAGGGATATAAGCCCCATCTTTCCTGGTACCGTCCTCTCTCCAGCAGTCTTCAGCCTTCCACCACTTCTGTTCAATCTCAAAGAAAGACCTGTAGCAATGCCATTAACACCTCTAATTGGAAGTCCTGCTCTTGAGAAATGCTGGAGAATTTCTCCTTCTCCTGGAAAAAAAAAAAAAATAGAGGGATCATCCACTGAATTCCTCTGTCCACCAGTTTGGTAGAGAATTTCAGAAGGCCATTTGGACCAATCCATAACAAGCTAACAATGGCACCATGTGACCTCTGTGCCATTGGCAACTGCTGAAATATAATATGAATTTCTGATAAAACATTGTAAGACAGTTATTTATCATGTATATTCTTAATTGAAGAAAGTTTTTAAAGCTTGAAAGAAAGGGCTTCACCAATAGGCAGCAGAACAAGAGATTACAACTAGGACTTGTGTTATCGTTTGGCATCTGAGGTAACGTGCTGCAATGCTGAGTAGGGTCTACCCAATGTTTAGATCTACTTCAGGACTTCCCCACAAACCTCCATTAAAATTTTCCATGGTGACCCACAGTAATACTATACTGGAGAATGTAGCAAATTAAAACGAGAATTCCACCCATCCTTTCCATTACACCTAGATAGTCAGTGCTTTTTCTGCCAATATTTGGCAGAAACAAACAACATCGTAAGAGGAGATCTCCAATAGGGTATTTTACTCTGGGCCATCCCTACTTCAGCAGCAAAACCATCTAGCCCTCCATATGTTGCTGAACTACAGCACCCAGCCCTTTCACAATTGGCCATGCAGGTTGTGCTTGCTATGAATTGTTCTTCAGATTCAGATATAATACATGGAAGTTGAAGGAGAGAGTGATACCTGTCCCTCTTTTTTAAAAAATCTCATTTTTTTTAAACTTGCAAACTTCTAGGAGTTACTTTTTTCACTGCAGATTGGATCTTTGAGAACAAACTGAAACCTTTACCATCTTCTAGCACTTTTATAATCTTTCTTTCATTTTGTCTAAAAAGCCCTTTTAAAAATGTTGAAGAGGATGCATTGCACAAATGCTGAATGTGCTTAAAATATGCTTTTCGAAAAAGAAATAACAAAAGAGCAAGGCCTTCTTTAACCTGATGTCTAGGCTGCATTTTAAAAATTGGATTGGAAAGGATTAGATTACATTAGACCTTCTGGATTTAAACATGTTAAAGCTCCATTTAGACCTTAACATAATCTCTTCCATTCTTTGGAGCCATCAAACTGAGAATTCACTCTTACTAGTTTCTTTCTCCCTCCACCCTTTTTATTAAATTTGCTACTCTCTCCCTCCCACTCTTTCTCTCTATCTCTTATTTTAAACATTATGATTTCATATTTGTAATAGCAAGAAATCCTCTGAGACAGATCTAAAAGTTCCTTTTTGACCCAAGTAGAAGAACAAGCATTTAAGCTCTGGATTTTACAATTATTTTATATATATATTGTGCACCATCACAGCTATATAAATATTAATAGCCAGAGGGATTTCTTTTCAGAAGCTGAATAAGTGGAAGTGCTTTTAAGTACTTGCTTTTTTTTTTCAAAGAGCAATGATGTTTTACAGTACAGCTTATTTATAGTACATTATTATGAAGAAATGTACCATTAAAAAGCAGCTACTCACTTTATAACTTTTTTTGAACTACTTCTTTCCCCAGTACCATAAACAAAATTTACTCTATTGTATATGCAAGCAAACTACTCCATAGTACTCCAAACATGTAGCTGAAGCTACAGTAACACTTTTATAGCATAAAAGAGGCATAGGATTATTCTACAGAGTGCATGCTATTTAAAATCAACTTAAAACTATTGAGCAGAGTCATCCATAGATCTGAGCTGAGATGACATCAGTAGCTCTTTTCATTACATACATATGAAGCAGTTGTTGTCCTGAATCAAGGTCTGGGTATAGTAGTGCTCAGTCTATTCTGAACACTAACTGACCATAAAGATCTAAATTGGCAGTTTGGGGGGCACTTATGGATCCACCTCAAAGCTACAATAGCATGGAGTGTAGCTTTTCTCTTGAGGATGAATAATGCAATTACAGTCTTATCTGGCCAGAAATAGCCATGATCCCTGTACAATATGTGAAACTAACTTTGAAAATGATTTGGAAGGTTCAGCTACTCCAAAACGGGACAGGAAAACATTTGATCTAGGGCTGGTCAATGGAACAGTGTCAAAAGGTGAAAGTGAGCCCAAAGGAGAACTGGAAAAAAATAATGGACTCAAGTTTGAGGGGTATAACTTCTCTGTAATTTCACTGATTCCAGTGAGCCACAAGTTTGGCATGGCATTGGCAGAATGATGGCACTGCTTCCATTCTGGTGTGAACCAATAATGGGAACCTCATACCATCATCAGTTCCTTGAGCTGGGCTATGTCCTGGATGCCACTTGACAAATAAGGTGAGAGATTTGATGTTTCAAAACTTTCCTATTTCAAATCATTATTTCATTTGATAGACAGTGATGACATTATAGGAAGACATCATCTACACCAACAACGATTCAATGCAGAAAACCCAGGGTTAGAATATCTAAACCAGATGGCTTAACAGAGGAAGAACTTACCACCTCTTTAAATAATTAGGTCAATTGTTGAAGGAAGAGTAGCCTTTATATGTAGGTTTTCTGGGTGAAGTAATTTCTAAGACAATCTTATATATGCCTACTTAGAAGCAAGCTTCATTGATCCAATGGGGATTACTCTGATGTAAAGGAGCATAGGATCACAATCTTCAGCACATAATTTCTGCACCCATATTTTTTATTGCTGCATTCCTCAGAAGTGAGTGTATCATATGCTCCTTCTGAACATGTGGATCAGCTTCAAAGTAATTGCTGTAAGAGAGATGATATAGAAACATGGTCAATGAAAATAAATTTAGCTGATATACAGGAGTGTGTCTCATGTGAACACAGGCATAGTTTAGCACAGTCACTGTTTACAGGCAGAAATAAATTTCCACTCTATACTGATTCCCATCTTTAAGAAAGACATGTGGGTGGGTAAGACCTAACTTTCCTACTAAAAGCAGATAAACTTTCCCATTCATATTCTTGAATTATTGAATTACTTCACCCGCTTGATATTTTTGCCTTTCATCTGTGTTATTTATGTCATGAGACTGTTGATTATGCCTGTGCATTCTTCAAAAATGATTAGGAAGGACTGATTTGGATCTCGCACTAGCACATTACTTCTCTGCTGCTAATTAAAGCCTACTAATTAAAGCTTCTGCACGAATCATAAAAAAGATGTGGCTACTTTAAATGAGTTAGCTGCTTTAATGAATGGCAAAGAGATATTTGGATTATGCAACAGCCAAAGAACTTTCTCCAAATCATATTCAAACAGCCCTACACTATATGGGAGATACAGAGAGGCAGTTCAAATATGGAAGAGGTTCTTTGGATCTTGCCTGAGCATAGTACCTTTCCATATGTATTCATTAGCATTTGTATGTGAAAATATTCTTCCCCTATTCACAAGAAAAGAAAATGTTACCATCTAGAAGGGGTTGAGGTTTTTCCACTTTCCAAATTAAATTCATAAACAGAATTCTAGAAATTTCTATTAATAAGAAACTAAGGCATTAAAAGAAAATGATTTTCTTTTTTTTTTTAAGATAGGGATCTCTCACTTTCTATTTCCCTTTGATTTATTTGCATATTTCTTTTCCAAGTAAACTCCCTTGACTGGCAAATAGGACCTTCAATTTATTCATTGTCCCCAGAAAATAAATAAGTGTTAAATGGATGTAAGATAAGATGTGTTTGAAGAGCATGATTCCGAGATGGTTTCTTACTTGGCCAGTTGCATCCCTGGACTGACTTTCACCTCTGTCCAAGGACTTTGTACAAATAGCTATTGTGGTACACTATTTAAGTGCAAATCTTATATTTGATATAAACAAGACACTGAACGTGTTTGCCCTGATGTACTGACATACAATTCCTTCTGTATGTAGACACCTTCTGCAGTATTCACTATTTCTTTCCTTTTGGCAAAAGCTTTACTTGACCTCTATATAATTATTAAAAGTATTTTCTCTTTGTTCAGCTTTAATAATTTTCCCCCCAAGATCACAGTGTGAGATGCCTTGACTGACACTCAACTGCCATTCAGAATATATAGAAAGAAAGCTGTTTCCTTGACAACAGGGGCTATGTACATACACTCCTCCATGTGTTTCAGGTTATTTCCAGTGTGTACATTCTTGCATACAGGCGTGTGGAAAAAAGAAAGCTGCAAAATGAACCAGAACTCATGCTGGTCATTGCAATATCTTTATGTTCTCTATGTGTAGGTCAACTGACTTGATTGATTTTATTAGTATCTATACTGGCCTATGAGCTCCATGAGGGCTAATGGGACTCAATCATCTGTATTTGTCAATACTTATGCAACTTTCTAATAGACCTTTTTATTATATATTTCACCAAATAAAATACATTTTGTGTGTCTGTGTGATTAGCATTACATGCTAATATTGACTGGAAAAATATATAGGAACTTAAAACATGCTATTTATTTATTATATATCAGCTTCTGGCTAATCTTGGCTTCTCTTAAAAAAGCTAAAGCAAGGTTAGATCTGGTTAATACTTGGATGGGAAAGCATCAGAAAATTCCAAGGTTATAGACTAGGTTAGGAAGTTGGG